CCCAGATTTCCCACACTCTTTTGTCCCCTTCCACTACCCACCAGTCCCATTCCGCAGTAACTCCCACCTGGATTTTTGCTCTTGGCCTCTACCTGGTCTCTGTGCTTCTGGCCTTTCTCCTTCCAAAGTCTACTCTCAGCACAGGAGCCTTCAGCCTTAAGTCTGATTATATCAGTCCTGGGCTTGAACCCTTCAATGACGCTCATCTAATTCGGATTAAAAGTCTAAGGGCCCACTAGGCTGGGTACAATTCCCCTCCTCCCTTCTGATTTTATTTTTTTCCTTTTCCTGGTTGTTCACTCTCCACCACCCTTGCCCCCTGGCTGTTGCTGAACATTCCAAGCACATTCCTGCCTTAAGACCACTCACTGCCTGGAACATTCTCTCCTTGGGGATCACTCATTTCCTTTCACAAATGCACCTCATCCTCTCACTCCCACTGCAGTCCTGCCAGCTTATTGTTTATCTTTCTCTTTGGCACTTCTCATACCTGCTGTACTCTATGTTTATCTAGTTTACTTCATTTGTTTTTCTCTTTTTTCCTCTCATCCCTCCCACAACTGGAGTATAAATTCTGTGGCAGTGTTCACCCAATCTGTTATTGTCCCTGTTTTACAAATAAGGAAAATAAAGTTTAGGGAGGTTGGAGAACTTGCCCAAGGGAGTAAGATAGGTAGAGACTGGTACCCACAGTTGTCTAAGTCATCTCCCATGGTCTTAACTGGAACAGCTCAATTGCCTTTACAATCACAAGCTTAAGTAGAGAACTCTCTTTAAGTGGGAACCAAAGCCCAGGAATGCTCAGATGGTCATGAGGCATTCAGAGGCCAGTAAGGAGTCAAAGTGGAGCACACTGGAAAAGACCGAAAAATACAACTGGAAGGGTCCCAATTGCATAGGATCTTAGAGCCCGGAATAAATAAGAGAGTATGGATTTTATGTAATGTAATATAATAGATTTCTGAGTAGAAAAGTGAGATAAAGAAGAGTTTTAAAGAAAAATTAATGTGGTAGTAAAAATGTCCATACATTCTTTGACACTCCTTCTTTCAAAAGAAGGAGCCTGATTTCCTCCCCTTAAATGTGGGCTGGATTTAGGGACATGCTTCTAAGAAGTATGTTGAAAGCACTGATAGGTGATTTCCACGACCGGGTCATAAAGCACATGGCGGCTTCTATCTTGCTCTCGACCCTCTCTGTGTTTTCTGCGCATACATCTGTGTGTTTCTAAGCCCTGAATCTGGAATCCTCCTCACCCTACAATTCCCCATGCAGACTCCTCCGTATGTGGAGGCTCCATTCTTCTGTCACCTCCCTTGCTACCCTTGCCTGCCTAGGGCAGTCCTGTGCTCTGCTGTTTCTCCCAGCACTCGTCATTCCTTTTTACTTGTCTGTCTCCTGCTCTAATGCCACTGGTATAATACTTTCTCTGCTCTCTTGACTCTGTCTGCTGGCTTTGACTTCTCATTTCTGACAGATGCCTGGCTCCACAGGCTCCTTATCCACCATGTGCTCCACCCCTCACTGCTGGGGATGTTGGTTCATCAGTGCTGCGGATTCATCAGCAGCTTCCAGCTCCACCCAGGGCTTCCCAGACACTGGCTGGTCATGGTGTGGCTCCAGGAGGCAGGTCTCAGCCTTCTGTCCATTCCATACCTCTCCATTCCCCAATTCAGAAATAGTGCCTTTGTGGGGGAAGGGAATAATGGATAGATCATCTCCATGGTGATGGTGGATAGTATCTCCTTCATTTTAGAGGTTAGAAAATAATCCACTTTTTATGTCACAGAGCCTTGACTGGTGGCCACCTCTTCTGGCAGTTTTTCCCTTGATTTTAAAATAATTAAATATCCAATAGTTGTGCTAAGGACTGAATTGTGTTCCCCCTCTGAAAATTTGTGTATTGAAGCCTTCTCCCCCAGTATGACTGCATTTAGAGATAGACCCTGTAGGAGGTAATTAAGGTTGAATGAGATCATAAGGAAGGGACCCTGATAGGATTAGGATTAGTGTCCTTATAAGAGGAGACACTAGAGCCTCCCCATCCCCCAATGCAGGCACACAGAAGAGGTCATGTGAGCACACAGGAAGATGGTGGCCACCAACTAGCCAGAAGGAAGGGCCTCACTGCAAACCGGCCATGCTGGCACCCTGATTTCAGATGTCCAGCCTTCAGAACCATGAGAAAACAAATGTTGGGTGTTTAAGCCCCCCAGTCTATGGTATTTTGTTATGGCAGCCTGAAATGACGAGTTGTAATCCTCGGTAATAAACGTTTTTGAGCATTTAGAAAAAGAAACAGCCATCTGAGGTAAATTTTGGTTCTGTTTTTATTAATTCATAACAGCTCTCATTGTGTCACTGCTCTTAGATTAGAACCACATTTTTCCAATCTGAGAGTCAACTTGCTTCCAAGGTCCTCTAGTTTCCAACAGTTACTTATTTCCCAACTTTGCCATAGGGAAAACAGCCTAACAATTATGTAACAATTAAAAAGTATAACCACTTTTCCTCTTGTCTAATCCACTTTTCATGAAAAGCAATGCCTGAAGGGTGGTCATTTTCCCTACAATGAGCAGGTAATTCATGATGTTCATTGTACTGGGGAAGAAGAAAAGGCACATATGTGTAGGGGGAGAAGCGTAGGTGTTCTCAATGGTAAGGTCACCAGCAGCCTCAGAAACCTCTCTCATTTCTTCCAAACATCTAATTCAAGCCTCACTACGTTAACACATATGTCTTCCCTAACAATTTCATCTTCCTTTGAGTTTCGGCATATTTAATTTCTATTCTAATTAACACTCCTGAACTTATGTACTGTTAGTCCATTTTGCATTGCTATAAAGGAATATCTGAGACTGGGTAATTTATAAAGAAAAGAGATTTATTTTGGCTCACTGTTCTGCAGACTGTACAATAAGCATGGTGCCAGCATCTGCCTCTGGTGAGGCCTCAGGAAGCTTTCACTTATGTCAGAAGGGGAAGGGGAGGCAGTCGCATGGTGAGAAAGGGAGCAAGAGAGAGGGGAGGAGATTCCAGCTCTTTTTTGTTTGTTTGTTTGTTTTCTGAGATAGAGTCTTGCTGTGTTGCCCAGGCTGGAGAGCAGTGGCCTGATCTTGGCTCACTGCAACCTCTGCCTCCCAGGTTCAAGCAATTCTCATGCCTCAGCCTCCCAAGTAGCTGGGATTACAGGCATGTGCCACCACACCTGGCTAATTTTTTTGTACTTTTAGTAGACATGGGGTTTCTCCATGTTGGTCAGGCTGGTCTTGAACTCCCAACCTCAGGTGATTCACCCGCCTCAGCCTTCCAAAGTGCTGGGATTACAGACATGAGCCACTGCGCCTAGCCTGCCCAGGCTCTTTTTAACAACCAGCTCTCCAATGAGCGAACAGAGCAAGAACTCACTCATTACTAGAGGACAACACCAAGCCATTCGTGAGTTGTGCCCTCGTGACCCAAACACTTCCCCCTAGGCCCCACCTCTAACACTGAAGGTCACATTTCAGATCTGGAGGGGACAAACATCCAAAGAATATTATGTGGTTATAGAAACACATCCTGAAGCTATGTGTCCCGTCTCCTTGGCAGGGATTAACCTAGAAAGTCACTCACCAAGTTGGGATAAGGTGAGTGGAGCAGCAGTGGCAATGCATGAAAACTAACACCCATAAAAAATCCCCATACTGCTCTGTGCTGAACTCACAGTAGGCAATTAACAAGCACCAGCGAACCAGCTGAATGGAAGAGAGGCACTTACTCCGTGGGCCTCTACGGACTGTCATGCTCAGGAGGTGGGTCTTGGGCTCCTCCTGCACAGGCTCTCGCTGGTTGCCAAGGTGGGACTCTTCAGACACCATTTCCTTGGGGAGAGCAGTTGGTGGCTGGAGGAAGAAGGTCAGAGGTTCAGAGACTCCCAGGACTTCATTTCAGTCTGTTCCTCTCTTGGGAAGATGGGTCACCAGTGAGGGGACATGCTTTAGTACTATTCACATCTGGATAACCACCGTCCCCATCACCTGACTCACTGTGGGTACCCCCCAGGGAAGAGGTGCCAACCCAGAGTTTCTCTAGAAATGCTTTCGTGAAATTATCAAGGCATCCCCAAATAGCGTGATTATTTTCACTTTTTCTAGGTAAAATGTGTAGAGCTCTGCAGGACTTTGGAGGAAAGAGAAAGGGGAAAATCACAGTTGGTTCTCAACTTCAAATAGTTTGCAAACAGCAGCTAAAGTGTCACTGGGTAATTCAAGGCAAATATTTAGTCCACCCTTTGGGCACCCCCAAGAATAGCCTCTGGTTCCTTCCCCAAACTCTCAGTGAAGGAAAACAAGGAAGCAGAATTGGCAATAACACCTTTGAGGACAGAGAGACTAAAGCTTGCCTCCAAACTCAGATTGACTGTGGGACTTTGGGCAAGTTATTTAACTTCCTTCTACACTGCTTTCTTATCTGTAAAAGAAAAATATAATAAAAAGAGCCCATTTGTTGAGATGCTGCAATGTATGAGTCATTGTAGAAAGCACAGAGATTCTGATGTAAATAGATGGCCCGGGGTGGAACTTTAAAAAAAAAAAAAAAAAAAAAGTCCCCATGTGATTCTGATTCTGGAGTGCAACTACATTTCTTGCAATGCTGCCAACCTATAAAGTTCCAAGCCTGGCCCATAAATTGCTCAGCATTTAAGAGCTGTTATATTCCCTTCTCCATCCTTGCCCCTTTCTCCTCTTCAGTCTAAGCTCCATGGCAGCCTTGGCACTGGTCACCCACTGCTCACTGTGCCTGTGACTCTGGGGCTAAGGGCTGGAACCCTTTTCATCTACTGTCTCCATGGCCCCTGGCCCTGGGCTGCAGAGCTGCAGATTGACCCCACAGGAAGGGGTTAAAGCTTCGGAGCTGTGTCTGGCTGTGGGTCTTTTCAGTCCCCAGGAGTGGCCAGAGAGCTAGCCCACGTGGCCAGGCAGTACCTCCCCGACCGCCTGGACCCTCCCGTGGGCGGCTTCATCCCAGCCTGCAGGAAAGGCTGAAAGTGACTCCTCTGCCCAGATTATGCCAACGAGTATGCTGAGCAAGGGGGTAGCTAGGAGGGAGGTCTCTTCTGTCTCCCTGTGACCTCCTCATCTCTCCTGGCCACCCCTCTCTGCAGCCCCTTCACGTGACTACTGGCTCAAAATGGCGCTTCCCTCCCCTCCCTCCCCTGCTGGCATCTCGATTGTTCCAAGCAGAGCTCCCATCCATAATAGCTGCTTCCCTGCCTCCCTTCTCAGAGGACAACTCCTTACCAAGGACTTACCTGGAAAAGATTTACCCTGGACAGGACGGTCCCAGCCTAGGAGGGGAACTCCTGTGGAGAGGTAGGGGAGGATCTGCCAGCAGGCTCGGGAGAAAGGAGATGGCTTCTGCCTCAAAGACAGAATTTGGGCTTGGAGTTGGAAAAAGAGGGAGTTTTCCAAGATTTGTAATCCTTTACTGCCATCTACTGCCCATCATAGTCTATGGCCTTCAATGAAGCACTAAAACAGACTCCTTTCATCTTTTCCAGACTCCTCTCTCAGGAGATGGGAGAAAACTTAGAGTAAAAATGCCCCAAGTATGGACCCCCGCCTTACTGTGAGGCTCATCCGTAAGTCTCTGAATCAGGCTCCTGCATCCTGGACCATCCCATCTGCATCCTGGACCATCCCATCTGCATCCTTGCCTCACAGTCCCCCAGAGCAGGCCAAAGGTTGGTGCCAAGGAAGGAAGGCTGCCCTTGTGGATGCTGTATGGCCCTGGGGATGCGGGCAGGTTGTTGATCGGTGACACAACACACAGACACAGTTTCTTGTCACTTCCTACCTGTTTCTTTCTTGGCTGTCTTCGAACCTTTGAGTTCCTCTTCTGTCTTCCCATGTCTGCATCCTCATCATTTTCAATGAACTCCTTTGTTAAAATGCAAGAGGGAGAGAATCTTAAGACAGGGAGAGAGGTATGACTTTTAGGTATTAAAATTAAAACCCCCATCTTGACCCTGGGCTTCTATGCAGTAATGCTCAGTGGGAGTGGGGGAACAGTTAACAATCTGTGTGGCTATCATCATCCACTCTTCTCAACACAGACATGTTTTCGAAAAGTCATATCCATATTGGAACATCATACACGAGATGATGTTGGGTCTTCCATGTTTCCAGGTCCTCGTTCATGCATACGACATTTACTGAGCATTTACTATGTGCCAGGCTCTTGCGACACAGAATTGAAAACCATATGCTGTCTGCTCTTAAAAGTCACAGTCTAAGAAAGGCGACCAACAAGTGAATCTGCTAGGACAGACAGAGAACCACAGCCCAGGACAGACATCAGAATCATATTAGGGATTTCACAGGTTAAGTTTTTCTGCTTCTTGGCCTTACCAGCACAGGAAAAGGATAATAAGGATACAATGTTACATCATCACAAATGCTTCAGATTAAAGGAAATTTTGGCAGATTTTTTTTGAAAAGGAAAAAAATCCTTTCACAGCGCAAACTTCATTTCCTCTTTCCACCTTACACTTTCTAATGTTTTAGTCATAAATTGTTAGAGCTCAAAGCTCTCTAGTCTACTACAAGCTGTAAAGTCTTTTAGTCCTAGAGTTTTATAAACGGGGGCACAGGTGTCCCTGGGTGAATAAGAAGTTGCAAGATCAACACAGAACCTCTCTGGAGTACACCAAACTTACTAGAAATTTTTTCCTAAAACTAGGATTTTTTGTATTGTTTTTATACTGAAACAAATTTGGAACACAAAGTATGAATTTTAAAGATATATGATTTCAAAGAAATTTCATGCAGGTTTCCGGGCAGACCTCAATTACTCCTGACTCCCCTTGGCCCCTGGGGTTAGGGTAGACATGAACCGCAATAACAGAGGAGGGAAGTGAGGTCGAATGAGAGAATAGCCCTGGTTTGGGCCTTTCCTTCATGTGTGTGACCTGATCTCTGACTTGTCCCCTGAACTGCATCCTCACTCTGGACTCCTTCTTTGGGCCTGCCAAATAGGAAGTGTTTTTAGTTCAGAGGATTCGCCAACTTAGATTACAAGAAGATAATTATATTGTGGTGTGCAAGCATGGCTTTTAATTCAATTCTAAGTTTTTACTGACTTAGAATGGACTTGTGAGAAACCTACGTAATCTTTTGCTTTTCCGTGATGTTTTCATCCTCTATTCTAACTGTCCAGTAGGACTTCAAATAACATAGAATGTAAATTCCATGAGGGCACAAGATTTGTTTACTGCTGTATTCCCAGGGACTATAGGCACAAAACATATTTGGTTACATGAATGAATAAGCAAATATAAACTTATGTGGGTTTGTCGGTACTTGATCTTGCTTAAAAGTTATTTATTTATTTATTTATTTTTGAGACGGAGTCTCACTCTGTCGCCCAGGCTGGAGTGCAGTAACATGGTCTCGGCTTACCGCAACCTCCACCTCTCGGGTCAAAGTGATTCTCCTGCCTCAGCCTCCAGAGTAGCTAGGATTACAGGCATCCCCCACCACGCCTGGCTAATTTTGTATTTTTAGTAGAGATGGGGTTTCTCCATGTTGATCAGGCTGGTCTTGAACTCCCAACCTCAGGTGATCCACTTGCCTCAGCCTCCCAAAGTGCTGGGATTACAGGCGTGAGCCACCGTGCCCAACCATCTTGCTCAAAGTTAATCTGCATGGTTTTATAATGAGTTTCCTCAGGCTTTTTGGAGCACTGCATTGGACAGCACATATCATCTCCATTTCTGTCTTTGTTGTCTCAAGCCAGTGAGCCCTTGAAATGAGAGAGAAGTAAGGATTGAGAGGAATACTCTCTTTTGTTGGATGGTCTGCAGTCTCCAAACTAGACAGCCTCCCTTCTCTGGTGTGGGCAGTGCTTTAATGAGTTTTTACACACAATGAGTCAGAAATTGCAGGACTCCATGGACAGAGGCTTCTATTAGCGGGTGTCTACAATTGTTACCTTCACTCTGAATGTCTTTAGAAATCAGCGTGCTTCAGGCAGAGCTAGGCCCAATAATAGGTAGTAACTTAGAGCTGCTATGTGTCAGAGTTCATAGAACAGTGACAAAACAGCTTCAGAGCATTCAGGTAGAAGTAAGATCTTGGAATGTCAGCAGGACTGCATTTCCTTCACCATCCACCTCCCCTTCTCCACCACATATCTGATAAGCACCCTCAGGGTGCATTTAGTAGGTGTGTGTTAAACTAAATGTGGGTTGAGGATAACTCTACTTTGAGTTCTTACATAACAAACTGCAATCTTAGTAAACTAACTGAAAGAAGACTGACTTAAAGTGTACTTCTGTAGCAGTTAGCTGAGTCTCAGCCAATCACAGCAGCTGAGCTTCAGTCAATCACAGGTGGCCTACTGATCAGATCATGTTTAAATAAGGCAACGCTGAGGTGTAGCTAATCCAGCTGTGTCTGTACTCTACTTCCATCTTCAGTCCATAGATGCTGTCTGCCCACAGAGCAGAGCAGAGCTCTCTGAGTCTCTTCAGGTTCTGAGGGCTGCCCAATTCACAAATTGTTCTTTGTACAATTAGACTCTGCTGAATTTAATTCATGTAAAGCTTGTCTTTTAACATGTGCAATAGATGCTGGTTGGCCTAACTTCCTCATTCACAAGCAAGTGTAACATAAGCATGCACACACAAACACATCCCTAGAGGACATCGAAGTGGCCACTTACCTCTGTAATTATTTTTACTTTTTCTTCCCTGGGATTCATTTTGGCTGGGATGGGTTCCTGACAAAGAATAATGAAGAAGTCAGGCATCTTGAAATCAATGAAATACTGCTTCTCTTACTATGGATATATATGAGGCTCGCCGTGATGGTAAGTGAAGTGTTTGAGCTGAGTAGACTTTCCACTCACAGGAACCCTGGCAGACCCCAGGACTGGTGGAGATAAGTGCCAGAGGAAAGGAAGGATGCCAGGTCTCCCTGTCCCTACATCTTTACTGTGCCCATAGAGTTGGATGGCACTGGTTGGAATCCAGCTCCAGAAGGACCATTTTACAGTTCCTCTCTGCTACTGCCCCGCCGCACTCTCTGCCCTTGACCTTGGCCCTTATTTCACTAAGTAAAAAGACAAGACCAGAGAGGGCTTCTGCATCCCCTTCCTCTCCTACCACATTGAGCCACCGCCACCTCCTCTGCTTCCACTTGCTACTATGAACCCCCATGTCCCCATGGGGCCCCTCCTTCAATAGTGCACTGGGCCCTATCATTCCTCCCCCTCCAGGCCCTTGATCCTGACTATTCTTCACTTTCACCTGGATTTTCTTCCTGCTCTATTGGCTCATTCTTACCAGTGGAAAAAAATGCTGTAATTTTTCCCTTCCTTTAAAAAAGCCCCCCAACAGTTTTTTTTTTTTTTTTTTTTTTTTTTGAGACTGCGTCTCACTCTGTTGCCTAGGCTGGAGTGCAGTGGCATGATCTTGGTTCACTGCAACCTCCGCCTCCCAGGTTCAAGCGATTCTCTTGCCTCAGTCTCCTGAGTAGCTGGGATTACAGGTGCGTGCCACCACGCCTGGCTAATTTTTGTATTTTTAGTAGGGTCAGTTTTACCATGTTGGTCAGGTGGGTCTTGAACTCCTGACCTTGTGATCAGCCTGCTTTGCCCTCACAAAGTGCTGGGATTACAGGCGTGAGCCACCGCTCCCAGCCAAAAAAAGCCCTCTCTTAACTTTACTTCTCTTTCTAGCTGTTGCTCAAGTTTTCAACAATTATAGAAAAATCCCTCAAAACATTCCCTCTCTTTCCAGTTTGTTTTTATTTTTGGGGTCTAGCATGCTCTTCAACTCCTCTTGCCAATGATTCATCTCCAGTGACCCCGGCCTTGCCATGTCTGGTGATCAATTCTCAGTCCTCATCTTACTTGACTTGGTCAGAGACATTTAAAACATTTTCTACGTTTTTAATTTTTGTGGGTACATTTTTGTGGGTGTATATATTTATGAGGTACCTGAGATATTTGGGTACAGGCATGCGAAGCTTAATCACATCACGGAAAATTGGGTATCTATCCCCTCAAGCATTTATCCTTTGTGTTACGAACAATCCATTTATACTCTTTTAGTTATTTTTAAATGTACGATTAAATTATTATTGACTATAGTCCTTTCATTGTGTTATCAAATACTAGGTCTTATTCATTCTTTCTATTTTTTTTTTTTTTTGTATCCATTAGACAACCTTCCCCAACCCCTGACTACATTTCCCAGCCTCTGGTAACCATCCTTCTCTTCTCTATCTCCATGAGTGCAATGATTTTGATTTTTAGATCCCACACGTAAGTGAGAACATGCCATGTTTGTCATTTGCATCTTCTCATTTACTTGTGGGTGAAATCAGCCAGGCACGGAAAGGTCAGAGACATTTAGTGATGAAAGTCACCCATCCCTTTCTTTGGAGATACTTTCTTCAGTTGGCTCCTGGGACAAGTTCTTTCTTGGTTTTCCTCTTACCCACTGACTGCTCCTTCTCAAACTCCTTTGCTGGTTTCTCCCCATCTCTCAGACCACCAAAGGTTGGAGTGCTCTGGGGCTTAGCTCTGCCTGTTTTCATTCCTCTGGCCGTCTCATCATGTCTGTTGGCTTTAAACACCATCTGCATGCTGATACTTCCCAAATTTACATCCTGGGTCCAGACATCTCCCCAGAATTCCAGACTCAAGTATCTGCTTGATGGACACCTTCACTTGGCT